TGTGTAGCACCCCAAGGTGCACTTACCAGGGAGATTCTATCCTATGTCCATCCTGGGTTGGAGCTTCATCCCAGGAGCGGGGCATGGAGTCTCTCTCAGGCGTCTGCTCCCGAGAGGAGAGCTGTCAGTCTCTGACCCCACTTCTTCTTCCTCCCAGCGTTCTGTTCTGTTTACTCCTCCTACCTATGTCCTAACCAATAAAATGGGCCAAGGCAGTTCCTTTATTAGCCAATGACCTTCCTCCATCATACTATGGGCCTGAAGGCTGAAGATGGATTCCCCAACGGTACAAAAGAACTTTGGGTAACTGTCCAGGCAGCGAGATGTCTCTGTTATTTCTAAAGTTTTGTACTTCGTGTTTGTTAGGTAATATTATATCCTTCTGGAGTCTTTGACGGAGTTGAAGAATGGATAGATAGCTATAGTTTTCCTTAGTTATGATAAAAGATAAAATAGATATAAATATTGTAACTGTAATTCTTGCTTGATAACAGTTTTGCTATATGTAATTTTGCTATGTTAAAGTTAAAGCTTTCCTTTTTTTTGTTTAAACAGAAAAAGGGGAAGTGATGGGGGAGTGTCATATATCAATCTGTTGATTTCATTGGTTAAGCAATAAAGAAACTGCTTGGCCCTCATAGGTTAAAACATAGGTGGGAGGAGTAAACAGAACGGAATGCTGGGAGAAAGAAGCCCAGTCGAGGAGTCGCCATGATTCTCCCACTCCAGGCAGATGCAGGTTAAGATCATTCCTGGTAAGCCAGCTCGTGGGTTACACAGATTAATAGAAATGGGCTAGTCCAGGTGCGAGAGTTAGCTGAGAAAAGGCTAGATATAATGGGCCAAGCGGTGTTTAAAAGAATACAGTTTCTGTGTAATTATTTCAGGGCATAAGCTAAAGCTAGCCATGCGGGCTCCGCCGCTCCTATTACTACAAAGACTCACCCTTGATGACAAATAAATATGGCAGGGTAGAAAATATTTTCTTCAAAATACACAAGAAAACTTAAGAGATTGATAAAACAGTGGATGATGTCCAGAAAGTCATTTCTCAAAAGTTGTGAAATTAAGGGCCGGGCGGTGGTGGTGCACGTCTTTAATCCCAGCACTCAGGATTCAGAGGCAGGTGGATCTCTGTGAGTTCGAGGCCAGCCTGGTCTAGAAGAGCTAGTTCCAGGACAGGAACCAAAAAGCTACGGAGAAACCCTGTCTCGAAAAAAAAAAAAGTTGTGAAATCTCGGCTATTTTGTACCTACACATCACTGCCATGGACTGAATGTCTTCTCTGGCCTTCTGAGGTCCTAACCACTTTGCATCTTTATCAAATTAAGAAAGACGAAGCTGTGGTGCCTAGAGCGTGTGGGCTGGTATATTGATCTCAGGACACAAAATGACTAATTCCTGAAAGGAAGGAATGTAGGAGAAGGTTGATAACAACCACTAGTAGTTTTGCTCTAAGTTGAGGGCTGCTCTCATTGAGAGCTATCAGGAACTATCTTGATAGCATCTCCCAAGGACCCTGAGGCAGACATAAGAAGCCAGCTAGGTGTCAGCATCTTATTTGAACCACTTTCAAAGAGAGGTTACAGGCTGCCTCCTCTGTGGCCAGAAACTTCTTCAGTCACCTCCTTTTTGGAGAACCTTTTTCTGTTAATATTTGCTTTAGGACCTCACTTTATTTGTAATCATTTTTTCCAAGTTTTTACTGTTCTCACGGCAGTTACTTTTAAACTACTTTCAAGTGAAACTGCATTCACCTGCACCCATACTTCAGGGTGATTTACTGACATCAGGGAGGTTGTAGTAGGCACTTATTTGAGAATTTTGTAATATTTAACATTTATTCATTTGGAAGAGAGAACCTAGCAGCCTTTCATTATTGAGGTCTAAAACCTAGCAAGCAAAAAATACCTATGGAAAGGGTCAGAGGGTTATGTCATCTAGGCCAGCTCTAGCTAGTGTGTTCTGGGAGTTACACATTCCTGCAGGGCAGCCAACGTTGACTACTAACTTATTACCATTGCTCATGTGAGCTGCAACAAGACCTGAGTGGCTGCGACAGTTCCTGTGAGTCATGGAGTCTTAAGCATATACTGATTGATCCTTAGGGAAAACGTCACCCTCTTTTGGGCTCCCATCAACAGCAAACCTAGTTCATATTTCTATCCTCAATATTAATATTCTTAGTAAGCAGGGATGCTGGAATGATCCAGGCTGAGCTATTGTCAGCATAGCACTCTTATTTCTGATAACAACATTCTATGATTTGTAAAAGAAAGAATCCCAAGAGCAAGAGGAGCTGAAGACACCAGGAGAACACATGCCACAGGACCAACAAAGCAGGGCTCATAGAGGCTCAGAAAATTAAAGCGGTAATCAAAGAGCCTGCATAGGTCTATCCTGTTGAATGAGATTTTTCTTTCCTGCCTGGTTCCTGCAGTCGTTAAGTCCCAAAGAAATCACACAAAGGTCTACGCTATTATAAACTGGAGCCTTGTGATGTTAAAGCATGGAAGAATGGCAAAAAAAAAACAAAAAAAAACAAATTAGTTTAATTTTAGTATGTAATGTTAGAAACTTTTCAGGCCTTAAATGGAGGACATCATGTTTGTAGTTTTGAAATATCAGACACATATCAGAACTAGAGATATAACCTAGGATACCGATTCTTCAAATTGTGAACAGTGAGAAAGAGTAATATAAGGAGATCAGCATAAGATAGCACATAAGAAGTGAAAAAGTACTGTGTGTGTGTGTGAGTGTGTGTGTTATCCGCTTTAGTATGAAGAGTAGAGGCACAGAGAGAAGTAGAATAGTCATTGCCTTCTAGCTCAGAGTTGTGTGGAAACAATTAAGGAAATTGTTGATTGTATGTTATGATAAAAGCTGTAAAATACAGAATGGGAGAACAGGAAAAACATAGATAATGTCAATACAAAATGAATAAATTGTTCTTAATACATCACACAAATGTGTCTTCCACTCCTTGCTGATGTCTGTCAAATAGTTCCAGAAGACTTCATAAATACTCCTGTGAGTAGAGACACATATTCACTCTCCCTTCTGTGGACTGACATCAGCAAATGCTGACATTGTGCTGTATACTATGCTGCCTGGTTTATATTTCATTCCACACCTACATCTTACAATAGCATTAACTGGTATGGGTCACTGTTTCTGTTAAATATATAAAATATACATACATCTTTCAAAAGCTGAATAGAAAGCAGCAGTGAGAGACACTTGCTCACTTGCTGTGGAAGACTGCTTGGCAGGGCTTTCTGTAGCTTACACTATCTCTCCTTGCTACCAAATGAGTCCCTTGTTAGTTAGAAGCACAGTGGAACCTGGTGTCGTGGACTTAATAGACAGTTATCATTTTGTGAAAACATTGGCCATACTTGATCGCATCAGAGCATTGAAGCATGCATGAAACATTGCAGTTATAAAGTACTTAAGTGTTAGGAACTTGCAAGAGACTGATAAAACCAGAAAGTTTCTGAACATCACAATTTGAAAGTCCCTGCATCTAACAGGTGAAATTAAAGACAGATTTGAGTGGCACCCAGTGCCCTGATGTCACAGTGACATGTATTATCCTAGAATATGAAAACAGAGTAAACAAAGAATTTTTACATTTTTGATGTTTTCTACTTTTTCAAATTATTAATTTGAAAAGTACTTAATTTTTAAATTAAACAATTAAATAATTAATTGGAAATTTCAAATTTAATATTATTAAATACTTAAATGCTATCTCTGTGTAGTTTACAATTGCCATGATATAGTTCCATACATTCTCCTGTTGATTTTTCTCTATCTTCCCTGTGCTGACATCTCTGCAAAAAGGACAAATGCATCAAAAATAAACACAAGAAACATCACAGTTTTCAAGGAAAATGGCAGAATGTTTAATTGTCATAGTTTATACTGCTGTGGAATACTGGCTTAAGATGAGTTAAATTAATTTATGCTGTGGAGTATTTGTATAAAGATGCAGAGATACATTGCAGCCTTTTATGTTGCATTTGTTTAACTCTGTGAAGCTGTGTTACTTTGCCTACCTAAAACACCTGATTGGCCTAATAAAGAGTTGAATGGCCAATAGCTAAGCAGAAGAGAGAAACAATTGGGGCCAGCAGGTAAAGAGAAAGAAGAATAAGAAGAAAGGGGAGCAAGAAAAGGAGAAGGAAAGGAGAATACCCGGGGCCATGCACCTAGTCAGACAGCCAGTCACAGAGTAAGAAGGAAAGAAAGATATATAAAATAAAAAAGGTAGAAAAGCCCAGGGGAAAACATAGATAAAGAGAAACAAGATGATTTAAGTTAGAAAAGCTGGCTAGAAACAAGCCATGCTAAGGCCTGGCATTGATAAGTAAGAATAAGTCTCCACATATTATTTGGGAGCTGAGTGGAAGGCCCCCAAAGAGTGTAAACAAAAAATAAAAAGATACATTATATCGTCTAAATCTTATGGGTATAAATAACCGATACATTGTTGAAACCTGTATTTTTGAAAAAGAAAACTCAGAACTTGTTTTAATAAGATAATAAGGAAATACATTATAATTCAATAAATGAAATTGGGTAATTAACATTTCTGCTGCATATAATGTCTTAATAAAATTCAGCAACAAGAAAGGAAATTAGCAGAAGAAAATTGAAAAGATTTTCATAACTTGCCATCCTCAGAGCCTAGGGAACTCTGCAGTCATTAGGAGTCTTCTTAATGGATGATGTCACGTAGTTTTGGTTCCTTCTTGAACATACGGATACATAAAAAGCCTTTACAAGTGCAACGTCATAACGATTCCAGGTTTGCATTATGATCAGTATGAAAAGCACTTGAAACCCCTTTCTCTTTCACCTGAGGACATTTATACCCAGACCCACCTTTTCTAGAGCCCATCTTCCGACTAGTTTTTCAATTTTATTTAAAGAAAAATAGTGTCCAAATTTATAATTATCATGGGGTGTGAGCTGGGGCTGGTCCCGTCTGGTTATCTTTTAAGAGACTTAGAGGTATAGTATGTCCTAATAAAGTCAGCCTTCGCTTTAGCCTCCTCTAGCCGTGCACAGCCTTTCTGAAAGATGAGTGTATCGATAACAAATTTCTCTTCACAGTGTCTTTTACGAACTACTTCAGCCCTATGAGGAAATGAAAGAGGAAAATAAAATAGTTGCAGATTACTAAAATCATACAAACTGGGCTGCCATGAACTAATGTAAATGTTTTCAAACAGAAACTTATGAGCAGCAAAAGGCCAGAGCTCAGTCTATATATTATATTACTAAATGGTAGTAAATTCATGTTGTTTCAATAATTGAGATTTCCACTGCAAAAACCTGAGAATCCTCCCACAGTTCTGCTTAGATTTCCCCTAAAGCATCCACACTGCCTGTGTTATAAAGAGCATAACTTCTTCCCAAGAGTCAGGAAGCCCACGTTCCTTTCATGCTTCGACATAGGAGAAGATGTATTTGCTCAGAATTTCTTTGCTATAGCCCCGGCCACCCAGTACCTTAGCATGTAACTGTATTTGGAAATAGGCCTTTTGAGACGTAACTGCAGATTAATGATTTCATGTGGGTGGGTTCAAATCCAACATGGCTAATGCTACAAAGATAAAAGAAACACACACTAGTAATGTGTGCTCAGGGAAGAAGACACATGAAACCAGTGTAAGGTCTTGGCCTTGTCCTCAATCGAGTGCAGAAGCTGGGGAAAGTTACAGCAGTCAGAAAATTAGTCTATCTACTCAGGATGCTCAGCCTACAGTACAGCAACTCACGAGATGAATACACAGTCTACGTTAGGAAGATCCAGATCAGATTACTCTAACACACTCAGAAAATGTCAAAGGATAGCAGAAAAAGTCATTCACTCATTCCCATTCATTCATTCAATCATTCATTCATTTTTGAAGTATGAGACTCTCTCCACATGCTTCAAAGAGAAATAAGAATCAATAAATAGAAAGATAGCCTCAAGAAAAGTGCACAGGAGATTAAGAGAAAGATACAATGAATACTTGCATCAGATGTCTTACTACAACAGGGAACTCATTACAGAACAAGACAAAGTGAGAGAAGAAGGGAGGTAAATGCTGATGATGAAGCCTACAAAATGAGTAGGGAGAAGACAAAGAAAGATCCAAACATGAAATAACCACTGTGATTTAAAAAATACACATTTTCAGCCATAAAATTAGAGACAAATCATTTTGTCAGAACTATTGTGTATAGCATGAATGGCTAACACTGAGGCAGAGAGAACAGTATATCACCATATATTCTGATAACTGAAAGGTACACTCTTTCTGCCCCACTCAGTTCTGGGGAAACATCTCAGTTTATTCATGAAGTACTGTATTTCTACAGGCAGAATCAGAAATCTGGACTCAGGGAGGAGATCAGAAAGTTGGATTATAACCTTGCAACTTGCTAACTGGATTTCAGATGGATTCTTTAAATTTGTTCTACCTCATCTTTAAGAAATAGATAATCTAACTCACAAGGTTAATTTAATAAAAGACAAAATTAGTTACACATTATAAATTCTTTTAATATGGGACATAGATCTAATCTACATGGGAAGTAGACAGTAGAAAAAAACAAGATCTCCTGAGTAAACTAGGAGCATGGGGACTTTAGGGGAGGGTCAAGAGGGGGAGGGGAGAGGCAGGGAGGAGAGCAGAGAAAAATGTAGAGCTCAATAAATATCAATAAAAAATGATAAAAAAGATGGCCTGGCATTTAATGAGTCCTTTACTGGATAGTTAGTAAGAAGTATAGTAAGAGGCAGATGGTGAGAGAGAAGTCACAGCTCTCTTTGGAAATTTTGATCATCAGGGCTATCCCTGTGATCCCCTCCAGAGACCTAAGACTGGAGAAAATGTGGCTAACCACAGCAACTCGGGTTGGACAGCCAATCTCATTTGATATATAAAATCTATATATGAAATTTAAGGGTTGCACTTTTGGATGTATTTAAGGTGCTTATGTCTGTTTTCTTCATCATTGTGGAAAGGACAATCCAGCTTAGACATTTCGTAAGAAGCAACTGAACAAAACAGAGTACACAGCACAGGGGCAGAGATTCTGTCTGACATAAACTCTGCTTCAAACTCCAATGCTGAAAAAAAAGTGGTTACCATTTGATAATCATTCAGCTGAAGTTAGCAACTCTGTTCTGTCTATAACACAGATAATGTACATAGCTGAGTATAAATCAAGGCAAAAAGAATGTTAAAAATACAAAGGAAGCAAAATGTAAGTCATAGTATCATACTGAAATCACTGTGTTAAAAGAAAAATAATGAGCCATGGACAAATCTTAATAAAACAAATATTTAAAAAAACCAATGAGTGATCAATACATATTAATCAATTCTACTTGGACCCATCATCATCTAAAAATTGAAAAAGTCACCTATCATGCAAAAAAAGCACACTTAGCTATGGATATTTAGGAAAAGCTACAGAAGGTCCATACCTGAAATGATGTCTGCTTTGAAATGCTACAGTGACTACTTGGGCCCACCTGGATAAACCAAAATGACCTTTCTCATGTGGACTAATACCCTTACACACATTGGTGGAACCGCTTCTACCAGCATGTGCACCAGCATGGCCGCTTGGCATCCTATTTGGGGATTGGATCTCGGTCACCTTCTTCTTGGATTCAACGATTCTAACAGAGTTCTCATGTCAAATATAATGGTGATAATAAAACAGGTTGAAACAAATGGAAAATTTTACCATGGTCAATGATTGGGAAACATTATTACATTTCTAATTCTTCTCAAACCAAGATACCCATGTCACACAATCCCAAATTCTACACCAGGAACATTCACAGTAAGAGCTGATGCTGCCTTTAAAGAAGAAAATCAGACAGCGAAGGCAGAAATGACCTAGGCCATTTATAATTTCATAGATGTGGATGTGGGCTGTTGAAGGAATTCAAACTTTAGGGCTAATGCTCCTTAAAGGAATAACTTAGCCTGCTGGAATTCAAGGGTGCAGTTGCGTTTGGATTAAAACTCTACATTTGGCGAGGGCTCGGAGCTGTCCTTGGGGGTGGCAGGAGTGGTAATGAGTAATGAGCGATAGATGAAGTTAGGCTCAACATCACAGGGCGCTGATCCTGCCTACCGTGTGCAGGTAGACCAGATGGAGACAGCTGGAGTGTCCACAGACAGGAACTGGGAGTAGAAGACAGCACAGAGAAGGAATACAGACATATCAGGCAGAATGCACATCCCAATCTGAAGATTGTGTGTCCTGTCTTAGACAGGAGACACCTAAGGCTGGCATTTGACAGATGAGGGTCATCACATAATTTATGTAAGCATGTGGTGAAGGCCAAGGAAAAATATGTTGGTAGATTTTAGGCACAAATAAATAGGAAACAGTTTAACAGCTCAGAGGTAGAGCGGTTCATAATACACAGAGGCTTTTGGATGTGTGTGAAGGTAAGGTATAAGCTGGTATTAATTGAAAAGTGCTTGGAGGACCTTTCACGTCAGGATATTCCTGCCATGAAAAAAGGAGAGGTTGTCTTATCAACTTGGAAATTATAAATCTACAAGATGCTGTTTGTAGGAAAGCTTTATAAACCAGGATATAAAGACCATAGTGAATGCTGCAGTTTGAATATGAAATGTTCTCTGATGGTTCATGTGCTCAACAATGTCCCAGCTGTGGAAGTTTTTTTATTTGGTTTGAGTAGGGTTCTTTGTTATCTTATTGGTCTTCTGCTTGTTTTTTTGAAGTGTGTTTGTACGTGTGTGTGTGTGCATGTGCGTGTGTGTGTGTGTGCATGTGTTTGAGTGTGTGTGTGTGTGTGTGTGATAGAGAGAGAGAGAGAGAAAGAGAGAGAGAGAGACTTTAAACTGGGGTGGCTAGGGAGGTAGGGAGGACTAGGAGGAGTTGGGAGAAGAAATCAACATAATCAAAATAGATTGTATGAAAAGAGATTAAATTTAAAAGAAAAAAGAAGAAATAAACTCCAAAAAAACAAAATTGATGTGGAAACAGGTGCAAATGCCGTTTGAGTGGATAGCAAAGGAGATTTTTTTCTCCTATGTGTTTTCCTTGCATTATAGATGGAGAGTCTAAAGAAGAAAGGTAGTCACACAGGAACAATAGCCATCTTCGTGCCATGCACCTCCCTGGAGAAAGGAGGGCATCTTCATGTCTACACAGACAACACTGGATCAGTCGATGGAAACCAGTGAGCGTTGTCATTTCCCCTAACACAGACAGTTATGCTTACACAGCCCTCCTTCACACTGCAGGCTTGCAGGCCCTATCAAAATGCACAGTGGAGAAAAGTGAGATGATGTGAGCATAGTAGGAGGGGTAAGGAAAGGAGAGGCATTTGCTGTACTGTCTGTAACAATGCTTGCTGTTACAGGGAGAGATTAAAACAAAACATAACAAAGAGGCAAACAGCAGAAATTTTAAATTAAGAAAACTCCAGATTAAAACAGAATGAATTGCCTGAAACATCCTTTCAGATATCCTGTGAACAATGGCCAGATATCCACTTCAATTAAGAAATTACACAGTCAGAACCACTGAGGAGTTGACAGAGGGTTTGCCTCAATTTTATGAAGTCCTGACTTCAATCCAAGTCTCCAACACCCATAAACTGGGCGCTGAAAAGTGATTTCACATACCTGAAATCCTAACCCTCTGGGGAGGCAGGAGGATCTAAAGTTCAAAGATACCCTCTGCCACACAGATTGAGGTCTACCTATACTACCCGAGACCCTATCTCACACAAACAACAACAGCAAAAACAGAACCAGCTCATATTTACAGTTGACACACAGAAATAGGTCCAGGGGAGGAGAATAGAGGCGGAGGTCTGGGTGCAAAGGATCATGTGAGTTCTTAGATATGATGCCAATTAAATTAGGAGAGACACAGGACGAACGGAGATGGTTCCATCTCAGACACCGCCAGAGATCAGAAGACAGGAAGAGCATTTCCAGTGTGCAGGAGGACCTGGGGGGGTGCTGCCATCACTGCCGAGAGCAGGACAGCAGTGATTACCTAACTGTGCAACAATAAACAAAGCAGGATTTCTTCAAGAATGTTAAGAAATGGAAGAATTCTTTTGTTTCCCAATCCTTAGTAACAAACCAGCACATAATTTTCGTCTTTTAGCTTGCTTCTGTTGTTCAAGTACAAAGTGTCAAGCTAAAAGAAAATGCATCCAAAGAATTCAGCATGGACTATAAATCACAGAGGACTAGGACTTGGCTGTGCCTTAGCTTAGCCGTGTGCCTACCTGAGCTCCTTCATCTGCCTCGTCAAACTTTGCTTGTACTTTTCTGTTTTCCATTTATTGTTGACATCCTGGCACTTCTGTTTTAAGTTGGCCATGTTTTGCTTCATTCTGTCAACTTTCATGATTCCTCTGAACAGAAGGGTCCGTTCATTGCTTATGGTCTGCACTAGAGAATGATCTGCAGCATTTAGCTTTTTTTCAGCTAGAAATGTAGTTTTCCGCTCTCTAACTTTTTCAAGGTAAGCAAGTTTTTCCTTCCAAATTTGCCGTAAGCCTCTCTCCATTATCTCATTATCCTTTTCCATTAGCTTTTGTGCCATATACGTCTTCTTCCTTAAGTTCTCTCTAATGTTGAGCCTAGCTCTTTCCTGGGCGATTTGTGCTTTAACTATGGCTGTTGATTTTTCTGATTGTTTTTCTTGATGCTTTCGTTCTGAGTGATATTTATCAAGATCATTAAGAATGTGGAGCTTTATGCCTGTCCTCTGTGAGGTTAAAAACTCTCTCCTTTCCCTCAGCTGCTGTAGAGTCTCTCTTTCAATTGCTGGCTTTGGACGAGTGCTAGGCAGGGGCTGGAGGTAATTCAGGAAATAGTCCCGCTTCATCTCCCTCAACATTGCACCATACTTGAATGATCTAGGGCAATATAAAGGAGACTTCACAGCAGATATCCTAAACTTAATGTCCACTTCTTCATCCTCAAAGTCAGATCTAGACTCCTTCTGACCTATAACAGAGCAGACAGAAAAACAACATAAGAACTAAGCTTAATTTCTCTTCAAAATTCTTTGGAAGCTACATAAAATACATTGGAAGTAATGTAATCACTTTAAGAAAATGTTCCCCATGTTTTAACTTGTGATATTGCATGAGAAACTCTCACTACAGCATCTTCCCTTGTGAACGTACTTCAGAGCCAGCACTCCTCAAAGTGATGTAGCTTCATGGCCTCAGTAGTGCCGCTTCATCTCACACATGCTACTCAGACAAAGCATTTATTACTAAGGATACAGTACTAACTAGGTCACAGCTTTTATGCACTTGGGTGCAGTGTTTACATGCTCAGGAATATGTTTTATGGAGTTAGACATCATTTTTAATATATTTAGACAGAGAATTCTGTAGTTTACTAAAATGAAAACCTCACATAAATTAAACTGAAGAAGTTACAGGGAACAAGCACAGCATGAGTCAGGTAGCACCCATCACCAGCGGTCACCGAGAGTCCTCTGCTCTGTGCTATGAGCCGCCGCATTAATCAGTTTATCATTGGCCAATTTGGACATGGTCTGGAGTGGTCAGAGCTCCATTGCTGTGGTTGGCTCTGATTAGTTCTTCGTTCCAAAATAATTCTCCTATTAGGCTATTAGTTTTGTGCACGTACTGAGTGTGTTAGCTGAGGGATCTTGGGCCAGGCAGCTTTAGGTCAAATGTAGAAGAGCAGTATTATCCTGTGTTTTGCAGTGGTATTGTTATTAGTTAACCTTTATTTCTAACTATAGCGAAATCTAGTAGCTGCCATCAAAATGTTTGTCCTCTATTTTCGAAAGACATCCACAATATTCGGTCCCTTTGCTTTGCTACTGCATGCCAGGGTGAGCGGAATTTCTCCCAATAGGGAACAAAAATGCATTGTCTCATCTTACCCAAGGCCATTAAAGGGCACATGTCTCCTCTGCTGTCTTTTGACCACTGTACAAACCTGAGGATGACACAGGCCAAGAAGAAGCAGTGGGACAAAAGAGTTCCTGGTAATAGAGCCACCAGCCAAAACACAAGTCGTACACGAGAATCATCAAGCTGGGACTCTGAGGGAGCCAAATAAAAGTTAGAACCAAGGCAGAAGACCAAACGCACTTCTGGGTCTCTTTGTTATGACAGCCAGCCTGACTAATACAATAACTAACATTCTGTTGTTTCTATATTTACTCTTTATAAATCTACTGGTAAAGAGGGAAACATAGATATAAAAGATTATATAAGCCACAGATATAAAAGCATACTAATATCAAAAAAGAAATGCTTCCAATGTGAGACTGCCTCCCTTTGCTTGAGCTTGCATCTGGGACTACAGTGCATCATCTCTCTTCCAGGATTCCTTTCATGTCTTTATGTTACAGTGATCATGCTAGAGCACATGGTGGTGAAGTTGGCCATGAAGAAAAGCTGCTGTTTGACACAAACAAGCAGACAGAACAGAGAGAAATGCCAAGCATTTTAGCTAAAGGCCCAAAGGATATCCATGTAAGGAGACGAAGCAGTGTATACCATTAAATAATGAAATAAGCAAATAATTAAAATGCAGTATTTGAAGATACAAAGGCAAAGTATCCAAAGATAAATATTAAAAAATGGCTAAAGCCAGACAGTGGAACCTGTGTTGGTGTCTGTTGGACTAGCCCAGCAATTCTTCTGCATTTGTGACCTGCACTGTACCACAGTATTGCTCAGAAAGCACTCACGATTAGCGTGTACATTCCTGGAGTGAGGCTCTGAAATTTTTGTGCCTTTTGTGCAAAAGAAAACAAACTTTAGTGTCTCCTCACTGGCAGGACAAAGGCCGGTGCTAACTTATAGCTGTGGGTCACATTATGAAAAGGACCAGTCGTATAAGGAGCTGTCCTTACACTTACATACACTATATTCACCAAACACCGGGCCTTTGGGTACATTTATATTTTTGCAGAATGCCGTTTGTTCTGCTGTCTGTTCATATTATTTTCACTTTTAATGTCATTTATACAGTATTTTTCTATAATCAATAAACAAGGAAGGAATCTTAAGCCTTATGTCAGTTTCCTCACCATGTAGTTGGTCACAAGCCATCAAAGGCAAGCAATGGTAACAACGTAGACATAGGGCCCTTTAGGGAGATGCAGCTCCTTTGATTAAACTCCAGCTTAGTATTCTACACAAAATTAATATCATAGAGTGATAATTCGTCAGCAGTTACAGTTGTTGGAAGGAAGGGTGGACAAATGGAGACACGAATCTGGTTCTCAGGAGTAGAATGGCTTCAACTACTTAAAGCCTTGAGTATGGAGCCAGTGTGAGCAGGAGAAACGCCTACTTCTACTGCCATGTGGGCTAGGGACATAACTTGATTCTCTAGTTTCCATGTTTATATAAAACCATGTGTAATTTATATGCCTAATTCTTTTATACCAATTCATGTAAACCTGTGGACTCTTTTTTTCTGTTGGGGAAATGTTCAGAACCTCTTTCCAATTCCCTTTATTATGTTTTTTCTGTCACTGAGAGACATGAGTTTCTTATGCTTTTTATATATCTTCCAATATCTGATATGCAATGCATAAATATTTCTTCCATCCCATGCATTATCTTTTGTATTATTTCTTTGTTATGCAGCAGAGAGTTAATTGATGCAGTCTCACTCATTCTTAGTTATGCTACCCACGTTATGTGTATATAAAATAGAGCGTTGCTAGGATTCCTGTCAACACTCATGTCTCTCTGTTCTCTATAAGTGTTATAGTTTCAGGTCTATAATAATTAAATTTCTAGTCAATTGAAAATTGCCTATTTGTGAAAGGTCTAAGAGTCTTCTTTAATTAAAAAGTGTTTTGTATTATAGATACCCAGCTTGTCCCACACTGTGATGACTTAGCCTGTTTATTCTTGTTAATTATATCAGTATCTTTGTCAATTGCTGGCACATGTGACTTTGGTTCATGTCTGTTTTGGTGACAATATAGCTTTAAGAATTATCGTTATGCTTCTAAATACAACCATTTTAATTAGAGACAATTTCTATTTTATAAGAAGAGTCCCAAGTCCTTTCACAAGATTTAGGAATAAGAAGGACTTTAGAGCTCAATAATAAGTGAATATGGTGTGGAGAAAGAGCTTTCGCCAGAGATGAGAGATTTCTCCACCATGAAACTTAAGAACATTAACAAACGTGATCTGAAATATTGCTGTTCATCTCCTCGTTCTGTTCCCTTGTGATGACTCTCGTGTGTTAGTCTTCTCATGGATTTCTTCTGTGTCTTGTCCATGTCTCAACTCTGCTAATGGTATCAAGCATTTCCACTGGACCCTAGTGAGAGCATCATGATAGGCAAGAGAGTGTTTATGTTCAATTGTGGAGATGGCAAAGGGCATTTTCAATAGACAAATTACAGGTGATGTGGGGTAGAAGTTCCTTTGCTGCTGTCCATGATTCCTCTAATCATACACAAATCCACAACGGTGATCATTACAGCACTGTGCACAGGAGTTCAAACCTGAACGCTTGGAGACCACACATACAGCAGCTCTTCTGTAGTCTAGAGTAAGTCAGTGCTAAATAAAATATTTTAGTAATTTGTCACTGCTCAGGTTTGCTTGTTTCAGCAGACGTTTCTAGGAGACACATTCTCACAGCAAACTTCTGCCAAGAACTGAACAATGAAAATATCAATGTACATTTTAATACCCAACCTGAAGATTCTCAGAGTCCCTTGCCCAGATGACAAGCTACAGACAACTGATGACTCCCAGGCATGAGCCCCTGAATTGTTTATCTGATACAAAGGGTTCAGCCCTGAGGTCATACACAAAACACAAAAGGATATTCAGCATGACGTATTTACATTTGTGTATCTGTGGGTGTGTGAGTTGGTGTGTGTGTACATGTGTATGTGCATGTGTGTAATGATTATAAAGAAAAAGAAGCCATCAATCTGAGAGGGACATAGGGAAAACATGTAACTTATAAAGAAAAAGAAGCCATCAATCTGAGAGGGAGATAGGGAAAACATGTAACTTGGGGGGGGGTGGAGACAAGAAAAGGGACACAATTATATAATTTTTTAAAATTAAAATTATATTAACAAAATGTTTAAGAATATTAGATTTCAAGTTAGCATCCTATTTTTTTAATTGGTGAAAGAATAATAAACATAGTTTAAGAGAAATGGACTAAAGGTTACCTGTCTAGCCCCGTGGAGGGAGCACAACCTTTGGATACGAAGGACACTGACAGGAAATAATAGGTACTGTCATGTTACGGTGTGAAAACAAAGAGGAAAAGGTGACACTGGCACATTCCGTTCTGCATGTCTGACCTAGGCTGAGTGCAGAGAAATGCCCAAGGATACAAGGGTGCACATTTTCCAGACATTGCTTGACCCTGCTACTGAAATAGCCTTTTATTCAGCTTACTGCATCATGGGAAATATGACTCACATGGTTCACTTTAACACTCCTCATTCATATAGTAATTTTTTTTTAATTTAGACTAAAAAGTATTGGCATTTGAAATGAACTTTTAGAAATCACAGCTACTTCACTGACTTAAATAGTAGTCCTGATAATACATAAAAACCAGATATTAGGGCAATTCTAGCTGTGCTGAAACACCACAATAGGGTAAAATATTATGGTGGAAAATTGAGCACGACCACAGGTGTCCCCTGAAACTCCTGTATCCTGGATGCACCAAGAGCCCTTCAACACTCACCAACGATGAATGTTTCTTCCTATCCTCAGGCTACAGCAACCATCTTTAACAAAGCATGACTTTTGTCTGAGTAACAAAAATGGAAAACCTTCCTGTGTAAAAGTTCTGCTTGTTTTTCTCATGACTCATAATGGAGCATAGATCTGCCCAGTAAGCTCCCCCCAGGTAAGATGAGGGCCATGAAAGGCTGTCGTCCCTGCCAAGGAGACATGAGGCAAATGCATCATGGGAGGAAACAATGGAGCCCTCCAGACCTGTAACAG